ACAGCATTTCCAGAGACTGGTGTGAGGCGGATGACCGAAGACATTCCAGATTGCCACAGGACACATGTGCTACGGGTGATTTGGTTAACAAAACCTCTCCGGTACATCAGCCTTGTGCACATGACTCCAGTGATACTGTGACCAATAAAGGACAACTACCGGTCCGGCCCGTTTCACCGCAGACCCACTTACCAAAGAATTGTGAGAATGACTTGCAAAAAAGAGCTACCCCAGTGACACCTGCCCCTGTTTCAAGCCCCCAAGTTCTCTGTCAGATGATCCCTTTAAATGGACAAAGCAGTATGATCAATGCCTATGTCAAGCCTTCAACTCCAACAGTCTCAACGCCCATGAAACCCATTTTACCGCAGACAGCCCCGCTCCCTCAGCCTGTACTTATGGGACCTTCTGTGCCTCAGGGGACCGTCATGTTGGTTCTTCCACAGACTGCCGTCACACAGACGCCGCAGTGCCCGCAAACAGTGATGACTGTTGGGAACACCAAGTTACTGCCCCTTGCTCCTGCTCCTGTGTTCATCGCTTCTGGTCAAAGCTGTGCCCCCCAGATGGACTTTTCTAGACGGAGGAATTACGTTTGCAACTTTCCTGGCTGCAAGAAAACCTATTTCAAAAGTTCCCACCTTAAAGCCCACCTTCGCACCCACACTGGTGTGTATGACCAGGAGGTCCTTTGTCGCTCCGGTGCTGGCTTGCATTGGGGTGCTGAAATGCACATTTTTTGGTGGGAGGGGGTGGGAAAGGGAAGAGGCAGGTGATAGGAAACTTCTGCATATCTCAGAGAAGGGAGGAATGTTCGTTCTCCGTGAGCAAGCACAACAAGACAGACTTTGTTCGGAGACCTCAGCTGACCCCGTAGTGTTAGTTGAATTTCACATGCTTTAGTTGGAGCGAAGCTTTGCCATCTGTGTGTGTGTGTTTAGATTTGAGTGGAATCCTGCCATCTGGACCAGATCGAAATGAGTTGTGTAAGTCCCTTTCACTGGGGGCACGCAGAGGTCTGGTGTAAGCAAACCGTAGTACAGGTACTTGGTCTTAATTGTTACACAAATAGAAAGTCAGAAGCTGCACATTTTTCCAGAATTTTGTTTAGACTAAATGGGAATGCATTGAGATTTTGGGCAACTGTGTTAGGAAGTAGAGCTGCTATAGGAACATAGCCGTTTATCTGGTTACAGAAAGGGAATTTTAAAAGTATGTGAAAATTAATTCTACTTAATGTGAGCTAATTTGCTCCATAAAATCTGGTCAGTGTGGAGACAGCACACATGTTTTACTTATCCTTTTTCTAGCTCTAAGATCCTGTTCAGTTAAAACTAACTTGGAGTTCTCGGGGACTGTTTTTTGTGTTGAGGGACAGGTTCAGTGGGAGATTGGTACAGAACAGCTCATTCTAATTTCTAATTCTAATTCATGTCTAATTTTGTTTCTCCTTGGCTTTTTTCCCCCACCCTCCCTTGCCCCGCAGACACTGTGGTTCATTGGATATCAGCTTCCGTGGCAGGATTTGCATTAGTTTGCCAGATTGTCTTTACAGTTCCTCTGGGGAAAGAGCTTAAACCCCTTGTGAAGCTGATAATCCTTGTAAACCAGAGCTCAGAGGTAGAATGATGCTTCTGCTTCTGGCTTGAGAGTAGGTGCTGCAGGCTGCTGAATTAACCTGACACTACAGGATAAACACAGACAGGCAACAAGTGTCTCTCTTTGAGCGTGTGCGGCTGCTGATCCCTGGGGAAGCTGCGTGTGTCTGCGTGTCATGATGAAGACTAGAAGATCTATGGGAGGTGATGCATGCTGACCCCCCACTAGCCAGTCCATGTTTCAGGATCGTGGGGCAGAGGAGTTTGGCTTTCTTTTCCCACTTTTGTCCTGCTCACCGAGTGACTGGGTGGTGTCATGCATACCAGACATAGAACTGTACTCTCAGTATCTGAAATAAGAACAATGCTTCTGTGGGGCTTCCTTTCAGCTGGACACTTCTGTTCCATTCCAAAGTGTTACCATAAATTTTGGGTCATTTGCTGTCATTCCTGGGCCTGCAGAACTCCTGTAGCTGTCTGTTGGACCTCCAGCTGCGTGGGGATGGCAGGGCAGGCCTTTCCTCGGTGATACGCGCTGGGGCGGTGTGTGTGCGTGCAGGACTCGGTCACCGGAGCAGCAGGACTCTGAGGCTCCGTTCCAGGCTTTCGGTTGCCCTCAGCGTCTGCTGATGACATGCAGCAGCCATAGCACTGTGGTCACACAGGGATGGGGACAGACGGCTCCTTCTGGTTCAGTCAGGCAGCTTTGAAGCCAGTTTAAAGCAAAAGGTGAAGAATCTTGGGTAGCTGGGGTTTTGAATAGCTGAAAAAAATAGACAATTAACAACGTTTAAAGAGATAGGAGGGAATAAGTAGAAACAATACCTATGATTTTTCTCTGGAGCACAGCTTGAGCTGAAGCTGATGTTGACTGCACACATGAGCAGTTCTGTGGAATTCATCAGTTTTTGCAAGGCAGAATTGAAGTTAGTTCTTTGATAAAACTGTAACACGGCTTCTCTAAAGTAAGTTGTGCTTCTTTTATGTCCTGCAGGAGAAAAGCCTTTCAGCTGCAACTGGGAAGGCTGTGACAAGAAGTTTGCCCGCTCCGACGAGCTGTCACGCCACCGTAGAACTCACACAGGAGAGAAGAAGTTTGCTTGTCCCGTGTGTGAGCGTCGCTTCATGCGCAGCGATCACTTGACAAAGCACACCCGCCGCCATATGACCACGAAGAAGATCCCCAGCTGGCAGACGGAGGTTGGCAAACTCAACAGAATCGCCACAGCAGAGAAACCGAAAAGCAGCAGTGCTCTGAGCATGCTCATCCCCGTGCCATCGTCTGTCTGTCAGGGCTAGTGTGAGGAAACACCTTCTCTACAAACTTTCTGAAGATCAGGAAGAGCTCTGATGGCTACAACAGATCTGACAATGGCTTTTTTCCCAGTGTTTGTGCATGCTTCAGTTTAGGTCCTCCATTAATAACGCTATGCGAGATATCTATCATATCTTTCCTTGTCCATTCCCTATCTGTTTTTTTTCAATACTTGGGCAAATGCAATCACCAGCACTTCAGGAAAGCAGAACTCTTTGGAAATGATTTTGGCAATAGGTTAAAAAAGTCACTTGTAATGCTTGCTGTTAATATTCTGATGGACAGTAAAACAGGGTGATTTTTAATTTTTATACTAGTATTTTCTATACCAAATATATTTTGTATTTATTCATTTTGGTCTTGATATGCAGACAAATTACTTGACCTGCATTAGTAAGGGTATGCAGGATGAGACCCAGAGTTTTGGAAACTCCTTTTCAGTAAACCTGAAGAATGACGGAGTGTTTTATAAACACGTAAGATTTGATAACTCACAGTGGTTGGGGTTTTCATGCTTGCAGATCCTGATCCTGCAGTGGGCCGGTGCGGTTACACCCTCCTTACGCAGGTGACGTTGGAGGTTTGAGATCAAAGTGTGTCATCATTTTTGAAACAAACCAAACCAGAATGACTTTCTTCCAGAAAACAAGTGTTGAAATCCTCAACATTTTATAAATTTGTGTCCTTTGCAAGTGGAAGCTGTTGTGACTTTTGATAGAAGTTTGACATACCGGGGATTCCTGAATCCACACTCCACCAGAGCAAAGTTTGGAGGAGCCAGACTGTTCTAACGGAGGTAGAAGCACAAACACCATTTAGAAACTTCGACACTAAAAATTATGTTTTACTTTCAGTCCTACTAAACCAGCATATCAAAATCTACTGAAAAAAGCAAAAATGACAAGATAACCCATGAGTAATTAGCTGGGTCTCTATGTTTTTTTTAGAGTACAGGAGAAATAGAAAATTAAGGGGTTTTATGTATCGTGGATGCTTGTGCACCTTATAGGAAATTATTCAAGGCTTTCAGTTACCTGTATCAAAGCACCAGAGGAAGCACTAATCATGTCTTGACTTACGAAACAGCCACCATGTCAACCTGATGATGCTTTTCCTGTGGCCTTATACTTCTCCATGTATTTTGTATAAAATCACCCTTTTCTATTAAATGAGATACTCTCCCTGTTGAATGGATTTTCTTTCACATCAAGTGTAAATACGGCTGAGAAGCGGAGTTGCTGGCTGCAGGAGTGCTGTGTTGCAGTGGCATGGTAGGAGTAATAAACCAACATGTCCGTAGTGCAGTCGGCCTGCTTGGTTTCTGTGGCGCGGAAGGGCGGTGTGCGTCCGTACTGTAGCAGAGCGGCCGTAGAGCTGTCGTGCTGTACCGGGTGGTGTTCTGAAATACCTGTGTAGCGTGTGTTCCTTATGGACTCTGCTCCCTTCAGCCACTCCTGCACTGAAGCTTAGTTGAACACTGAGGAGGGCTATTTTTCCTGGATATGTAAAATGTGGATAACGAGGAATGGACTGTCTGTGTGTTCTATAATCCTGGTCTTGCTTCTCGGTGTGGGCAAAGCACGGTTCTCAGCTATGTGTAAGTGCAGACTTGCTGATCTCAGCAGCACTCCCATGAAATCGGCAGAGATCTGTTTCAGTTGAAAGCAGAATATGTCATTATTTTTTACACTTCAGTCTATAGTTATAATTAACAATAACAAGTTTTCAAACTGCACTTAAGTGCAGTATTGTGCTAAGTGTACTAAAGTTTTTGTGCCCAACCTTTAAAGTGCCCACACCCTGTTCCCTCGACACGCGCTGTAATCCCACGGACCGTAGCGTACGTGCTGGTGAGCGCGGGCGCGTACGCAAACCTCGCTCGGTGCTCTCTGAAGGGCTCGGTGGAAACCCCTCCTCCTGGTGAAGTGGATGCCGGTGGCATTACTGTTCTGTGTCGATACCCAGTTTTCCAAATTTGTCTGGTGAAGAAAGAGACATTGCTGTTCTCGAGTGTGGTTTTTTTTGTGGTTTTCCTTCTCAGAAATCCCTTAGAACCAGAAGTTTGACTGTTGGATGCCATTTTAGCATGCTTTTAGCCAGGGGGAGAGTGTCCTGTCTCAGTCCAGTAGCCAGTTTAGTATGTCGGTTTTTTACAGACTAAAGGTTTGTGGTGTTCACCTGAGCAAAACAGTTTGGAAACTCATGTCGTAATTTCGTAAATTGTTGTGTTACTTGATTGCATTGTGGAGGGGAGATGATGGAGTGGAGAACGTTGGATTTTAAAAAGCGTGTCGTGTATGTGTGTCACGGTGTGGAGAAGCGAGGGCTCCCTCTTTGTCGGTGTTACCCGGCCTGCGACTGCTGACAGCTGAGCTGTGCCGGCCCTCCTTGCTCTCCCCGTTGCTGCCTGCTGCGTAAGGGTTACTGATGGATTAAGCGTGGCTGCGGGAACTGCTCGCTTTGCACTTTGCTGCCTGAACTCGATTGTTCAGTCTTTTTATTTTGAGCCGACATTTTAAAGAAACGGAATCACGATTTTGTACCTGTTTTTTACCTTTTATTAAATAAAAAGTATGCAATGTAACTGGTTCTGAATCATAAAAAATTGTGAATTTTCAGGTTTCTTACACATCCATTCCAGAGCTCTGTAAATCCATCTGGATTAGGGTATATCTCTAGGCCAGTGGAAGACTTTGGGACTTGCTAGTTCACTTACCTGTAGAGGCAGGACTTTTTGGATCCCGTTGTAAACTGACCGGTGCTTGTCCATCTATAATTTGACACAGTGCTTCTCATGTATTTGCTAGAATGCATACACCGCTGCCCGGATTCAGGGTTTCTGCATGCTGCCTGAAAACAAGCGTCTCGGAGTTCGTAACTGTCCTTCTAGCGTGGCCTCCAGAAGCTGTCAGCAAAAGGTGATGGTCCGAGTGCTGCTCTGTCAGTGTTGCGAGCTGTGCATGGCATGAAACTGGAAATAAAGAAGAGATGAGACTTTGACTCAAAAGGTGGCTGCTTTAGCCCTGGTTCTTCCCGTTCCCGCGGACCTGCGCTCTGGTGGGGAAGCGGCTCTGGCAGGCTGGGTGGCACCTCCAGGTCTCGGCTGGGAAAGAGGTGACCGGCGACTGTGGCACCAGCAGCAGCAACTACTTTAAATTTCTAAGCACCTCTGCTGTTTCTTTCCCTCTGAGCAGTTCCCACATTGCAGCAATGTTTGTTTCTAGCGAGGTGACGTTTTAATGGAAGGGAAGGGTGTAAGGACACCAGCTGCTGCCACAGCCTTTCACTGCGAGGTGACTTGGTCTCTGCAGTCGGAGCCCACGGAGGGCGAGCTGGGAGCGGTGATGCAAGGCTTTGTCCACAGGAGAGCCCGTCGTTCTTGCGAGTGTGTGGAAGATGAGAAGATCCCAAGGATGGTCCTGCTCCCCCCGCAGGAGAACGACGGGAAGGGAAGGCTTTGCTGCGGGATCAGTGCCTTGGCAGGGTAGCACAAACTCTTCAGCCCCTGTGCTCTGCAGATCTCCGTAACGCTCCTGACTCCCGGGGGAGGATGTCCTACCTGTCTCTTCCTACCACGGCTCTTCAAGGAGGATTTTTCTGAGTATCTAAGTCATATCCTAAACAATACCTGTGATTTTTTTTTGCTGTTTTTTATATTGTCTCCCTCGCTTTGCTTATGTGAAACTATGGATTTCACCGTTCTGCAGTCATCTTTCTGCTTTTCCTTTGAACCAAGCTGTGGTCTGAGCTGTCAGGTGCAGCCATCATGATGGGGCTGGAGCCTGCAACAGCTTCATCCTGTGAGAGAAAACAGCTCATGCCTGGGGAAGCCTTCCCAGCTCCTGCTGTGCTAACACAGGCACCAGGCGGGAAAAAGCCCTTCTATCTTGCAGCCATCCTAAATCCATGAAAACTATTAATTTTCTAAAGAAAAATGCATGTGTGCTCAGGTGTGTCCACTGGTTGAATGCTGCGTTTTGCAGTTAGACCAGCGTTGCTCTCCTGTGTGTGGTTACACAGCCAAACCTTCGGCTTAGCGGCAGCTCACCCCGTCTTCCTCGCACACCGGTGAGCACCGATCCGCTTGTGGTGAGGAGGCTGGAAGCGTGAACCCATTCTGAAGCCACCGCGCTGCGTGGGCAGCGGTGGCCCGTGCTGCCGGCAGGTCGCACGCTCGGTGTGCTCCTCGGGCTTGGGCTGCGGTGCTGGCTGGCTCTCCAGTTCCAGCTGAGAAACCTGTGCTCAGCGTCCCGTGGTTGATGAAGGTGGCACTTCGTCTGTCATCTCTGCTGAGCCGAATCCTGCCTCAGGGTTGCATCTGGCGAGTTCATCTGCTGGGATAAAGCTTCTAACTGGTTCTGAATTTTAATCTGTGAGCCCATCTGCCTGTTTACCTTCCGTTCGTGTCTGGCAGGGCAGCCTGAGGCAGGCCGTGAGAAGGCAAACTTCTTCCGTGCATGCAGAAAGAGTAAGTCGTGACTCAAAACCTGGCAACCTGCAGGCTGCGGGAGCGGCGAGACGGCTCAGGAGGATGCTGCAGAGGCTCAGCCACATCTGTCTCCAGTCGCTGGGATCACCTCCCCTGCAGCGAGCGCGTTAGCGCTGGGGCATTTTCTGTCCAGACTGGTTTTGTCCTCTGCCAGATGCAGCCTTCCTCAGTTCCTGCTTCAGTCCGTGGGCGCAGGAGCAGGAAATCAGGTGACATTTACAGTCCGGTGTGTGCAGAAGGCCATAGGCACATTTTCCACATGCAGAAAACTTGAGGAAGCCCAAGCATGCGCTTTCCTGGGAGAGTTTTTCTTAGATGTCAAGAATACCTTGGATTTAGTTTCCTCCCTTGTAGTCTCTCTCAATTTCAGAGTGATTTCTCTTCTCTTGTTTATTGTTGCCCAGATACACTCACCTCACCCTGTGCACATAATTGCTGTGTCCTGTGTTCAGAGCAGGGGGAAACCCACCCTGTTGTGGGTGCTGCCTGTGCCAAGCGCGGTGGGGAGCTCCA